CTCCTAAATCACTCGTACGCACAACTTAAGAACAAATCTGTGCGTACGAACGGTTCTTGCATGAGGCCCAATGAGTCCACTAACACACAACTTTAAGTTTAGTAAGACCTCTAGGTTTTTCTCTCAATCATGACATCTGAAAACATTTGTTGGTCATATTACCACAAAATAAATAAATAAATAAATAAATAAAAAGATCACAAAGAGATTGTGAGCGTTAAAACCAAACATTAATGCTCCTGCTCTAATCCAGTAACGGTGAACAAAAGCTCCTGGTTTAGGCGTGGCAGCTGCGGATCAGATTACAAACTAGGTTTGATGCTGGGGAGGCACAGCTTCGAGCTTTCATTGTAAGGCACTTTTTTCACAATGTGTGTAAAGAAAAAAGCACAAACATCCTACCGACTTCCCCCCAGTGAAACGGGTTGATCCCACCAGTCGTGCAGTTGTACACCAGGATGCTTTTAGGCCTGCAAGGTAAGAATATTCCAGAATAAATTATCCTTTTAATACAACTTTAGTAGAAAATAAGTGTGAGTTTTCCAACCTGTTAACTCTCTGAGATCCAGAGAACCAAGCTGCAGCTAGGGTTGTGTTTATGACCACATCCACTGGAACCAGGTCAGCCACAGCATCATTAGATGCTCTCATCGTGCGCAGGATCCCCTTTCCAGCCTGCAGCAGAGAAACACTTTAAGGCAACAATATAAAACCAAGTGAGTACTAATTATCAAAGACTGTAGAGACCAGAATGTTGTTAGTGCCACAGACAAACACGAGTCCAGCAAAAAATAAAAATAAAATAACATCTTCAAGAAAGTTGTGGAAGTTTTTCCACCAAACCAGTTCCAGCGCTTACTTACACCTGTCCAGTTTTAACTACCAGAAGAACTGGTTCCAGCACCACAAACTGGTTCTACAGTACAGAACCACTACAGGCTCAGAGACCAATCAGACCAGCTGAAGAGCTTCAGGTTTCAGAGTCAGATAGGGAGCTTCATTTTAAAACTGAAGAGTAAAAAAATTTAAATGCTGCAAAATAAATAAATAAATAAATAAATGAGATCTGACTCTTGTAGATTTAAGATGCTGGAGGCGATGCTTTCAGGTGGTCTAAAAAGATGACTACTGAAGATTCCTAATCCAACAGAAACTTCATCACTTTTAAATAATTGTTAAAACATTCAGTTATAAATGTACTAGTAAAAGACTGTAGTATAAATAGCGTTTTCCCCTTCGTTTTTATTACTTACTGCAATAAATATTCCACTGGGCCCATTGAAGTTATCAATCCAACCCTGAAACAACAGAATTGGAGGGGAAAGAAATAAAAAAATTACTGCACAATGGAGGTATTTTTCTCTTATTGTTGCATTAACACACTATGAACAATAAAAATAGAATTAAACCTATACACAGTCATGTTGTATTAATGAATCTGGTCTAATAGTTGAAACACGTCTCATCAGGAGGACATGCAGCTGCCATTCTTTGCCTGGAGCAAAGCTCAGCTGTGCTGCTTCATTCTTTACATTCCAGCTGCAGCTTTCAGGACAGGAAGCGCTCAGCTTCGCTCTGCTTGTGTGCAAACACCACAAAGACTTTAAGATGAAGGTCAAAATGTCTTCAAAATTAACCGAGACAAAACTTCCTCTACAAACAGGTCAGATTCACGTCACAAGGAAATTAACACTTCTGCTTCTCGGCTATAAATTATACCACTTGTTTTAACTCACAATATTTTTTTAGTCTGTATCCATTCTGATTTAAAGTTGGATTACTAATCCTGTAAAAAAGGGAGAATTTCTCACAGGGAAAGGTTCTTTCCAGCTGGCTCCAACGATGGAGGGTCTGACGATGGCGATGTTGAGGTCTCCAGCCTCCTGCAGGACCAGATACTCAGCCAGAGCTTTGGTGAAGGTGTAAGTGTTGGGACGCTCGCCAATCAGCTTGGGAGTCAGTGTCGACACCAGATCGTCATCCATCCAGCTGGATTCACAAACAAAACAAATACATAGATGTATCTTTATTTATGATTTTCAGAAACTTACTTACTGTATTTATTCATGTATATTAGAAATTTGACCCTAAAAATCATCCATAAAGTGTGTGTGTGTGTGTGTGTGTGTGTGTGTGTGCATGCTGTTGTGGTACCTTTTTATCCTCAGGGCTCATGTGGGCCATCAGCATGGCCATGTTGTTTGTGTTCCAGACCCACGAATGGCTGGTGAAATACTCCAGGACCATCATGGCTTTGTGGAGGCGAGAAATAGTCTTCATCATCCTGTGATAACATAATATGTGAAGTGAAGAAGGCAAAAACAAACAAACAAACAAACAATAAATAAGCAGGTAAAAGTGGAAATGAATGTGGGACGGTGAGAAAAAAAGGATGAAAGACAGGAAATATATACCCATGAAACACTAGAGAGAAACCAATTCAATACTTGACTTCTAAGTGAAAATTAAACCTTTTTTTAGGATATACGAACAAGTTCTGAAAAACCACAGATTTGATTGAGCAGACTTTGCATTCAGTGACACAGTGCTACGAGTTTGTCAACATTTTGAATGATCTATGATTTTAAAAACGTTGCAGTCTTATGAAAATCTCCAGAACTCACAAGAAGTGATGACAAATCTCTTCAGACCCTTCAATGGGGACCTTCACTCAGGCTGTTTTTAGAACACGAGTCACGTCTGCTCGACACTGACGCAAGAACAAACTCTCGTAGCCGCTCTATTGATTTCAGTGGAGCTGCACTATTTTAGTTGTTTAAACAAAACATTTTGCTACGAATCTTATAATTCAGGATACAGCCATCATCCCCACATGAACAAGTGTTTTTTGTCACTTCTCAGAAGCTAAGATGCTAAAGCTAACAGCTTGATTCAAGCAATGGGACGAGCTTAACGTCTTAACTTAACGTCTGATCTAAACATTTAATCAGTTTTAAAAGATCAACACTGGACCACCCAGATCCTATCCCTGCACTTTCTTTTGATAAACAGGTACATTAAACCTTATTGTTTTTACTGTAGCCTACTGCTAGCTTTACTCCTAGCATCCATGCTAGCCTCACTCATATACAGCACTCTACAGGCTCTACTGCATTCAGTCCAGCATACAGTGAAGATATTTTATTTACGCAAATTCTAAACATCACCATTAAAGCCGCTGTATGTAGTTTCTGGAAAACCCTGGACTTAGAAAATATTTGAACAGACAATCTTCAGGTCCCTCCCCCCACTCTGTGGTAAATTTCAGCCCACCATCATAAGCTCCTCCCACACAGCACGGCCTGAGTCGGGAGCTTGGAGCCGGGTTCCCATCAAATGTGTTTTGAGCAGCCAACATACTCCAGCCGCATGCGTTTGGCTGCTTGTCAACAGCTGTCCGTTCACACCGAACGCGTCTGAAGACGCGCAGTGGGAGGAACGTCTTTGTTTGTTTTCTGGTCTGTTGACGTTTGAAACAAAGATAAAATAAATAAAACGGCTTTGTTTTATTTACTAAAGAGCAAGCGAACGTTGCGCACAGCAGATAATTAGTTCACCAGATAATTTAGAGGCGCTCTGATAGACTTTTTTTTTTTTCAGACCGGGACCAGACTGTCTTTAAAGACGGGTGAAATAAAGATAAAATAAATAAAACGGTTTTGTTTTATTTACTAAAGATCAAGCGAACTTGCGCACAGCAGATAATTCACCAGATAATTTAGAGGCGGTTTAGTTTCACCACTCCAGCGAGATGAGGGACTTTGTTTTTGTCCCGAGCTCAGCGAGCTGCTGTCTCATCACATGGGTGCTGATATCTCCAGCCAGAACACCAACTGCAGACGGTTGATTTCAGCTAAAGAGCTCCTGTCCGTCTGTGTCGGGTTCATGAAACCGTCACCTGAAAAAAAATATTCTCCCCCGATTGGTTGCTGCTGCGCGTCGAGCAGCCAAAGTTCAATTTGTTGAACTTTAGCAGCCGCTACCTTGCTGCATGTGCGGAAAATGCTCTGCCGCATGTTGCACGTTGCTCTGAACCGCCAAAACGCGCCGCAACACGCTGCGCTGCTCATGGATGCGCAGCTCATAGATGCACGGCCACCATAGACTTTGCATGTAAACTGGCTGCTTTGGCTGCTCCAAACGCGTTTGGTGTGTACCCGGCTTGAGAGTGTGTGTGGCTGATTTGCTCTTTTTCATCGGGAGCGGTAGATTTGAACAGATGGCTTTAAGACCACTGAGAGGAGCCAGAGGACTTCTGTTTTATTCACAGATTATCTGTCTAATATCAATATGTCAGGATTAGTGACAGTTTTAATAAATGTGGCAAAAATGTATTTGTATAAAAGTTGCAGACTGCAGCTTTAAGTTTCTTTAAATGATGCAGAAGCGGTGGCTCGGGTTAGAAAACACACAACAGATGCAGCAAGCTAAGCTATAAAACACAGTAAAGACAACAACCTTTATAACAACTCCACTGGCTTTCCAAGTCTGTGGAAGACTTCGACCCTCCAGCCCACCTTTCAGCTCAACTTCCCTGTGATTCCTGAAGTGTTGAAATTTGCTCTGGGGACGTCTCTTACTGTTACGGTTTTAATGCTAAATCTTTGTAAAATCCACACAGATTGTCAGATAATTTGTGAGCGCGGCAGATAATGTACTGATATGTAATGATATGCGTGATGTCATGAGTGAAGGTCCCCATTAAAATTAAGGTCCTTTCATAACACTGTGATTCTTTACATGGACAGTGATGAATACAAACTGGAGCAGACTTACTGGATTTAATTTGCACAGAACAGGAAGACACGGAAAACTCTTTCAAATAATCACATGCTTTAATTTAGCCTATTTATCCTTTTACTTATAAACTTAAAATTCAGTCTGCTTCATTCTGTCAGTAACTTTATCTTCCTGTTAAGTCCAGGAAATCCAGTAAATGTGTTTTATTTGTTAGCTTGTTGAGCACAATCAAAGATAGAAATGTTTAAAAATGGGAGGTGGTATGTCACCGAGCTGGGAAAACATTTTTACTTTTTAAGTTTTAATATGAATGGATTGAAAAACTGGATTCTTAATGCTGCACTTTTTGGACCATTTTTTATATAATTAATCATCATCAGGAAGGTTTTCTTGACGTGAGGCAGCAACACTTGGTGAGACAAGTTTAAGATGCTCACAATGACTTTGCAATATTTACAGAAATGATTGAAAACTCCAACCACTCTCAGCGCAGTGAGACACCATCACCTTTAGTGTTAGGATGTAGAAAACAGAAAATCAATGAAGGTTGAAGAATCTGAGTCGCTGATTTGATTTTAGTAATTTATTTCCAAACAGCTCTTTTATTTTTGAAGGTTTCCACTAAAACCTGCCCGATGGACACGACTCAGATTCTGTCAGTGAAAGCGAGCTGAACATGCGTGGACGATCGGTACGAAGCAGAAGAAGTGTTAGTTGTTGACCAAATTAGATTCAAATCACACTCCGACACCGTGAGTGAGCCACACTTCTTTCAGACAGTAAAACGTGAAATTTAAACCGTCACTCCAAATGTTTACTGTCTGAAACGACACTGGCGATGGATCTGCACGCAGGAAGTCCCGTGATTTCTGATGATTGGGTGAGAGGAGGAGGAGGAGGAGGAGGAGGAGATGAAGGCTGTCATGTTCGAGCCACTGGAGTTAAAAACAAAACAAAAAGCCATGCTTCCACAGAAAACGGATGTCATCATAAACTCCAGCTGTGCCACAGTGAAAGTAGTCCCTGATGCTCTGGACACATCTTTGTTTTCACAATCCAAGTTAAAAAAGGGAGGAAGGTTGAAGGAATGAGTAGAAAAGTTGGGGTCTGATTGGTGGTAGGAAAAGTGCTGGGGGGTGGGGAATCCTTACCGGGGCTTGTGGCCCATCAGCCTGAGATAGCCGTCATAGAGCAGGGCGGGCAGCGTGTGGCTGACTGTAGTCCAGTACTGATTAGTAAAAGAGTTGGAGCGCAGATTGACATTAGGCCTTCTGAAGGCCTGCTCTAAGGGATTGGTCTTGAAGGTCATGTTTATACAGTACTCTGCAGGAGACAAATACATGATGGGACAAGGAGGACACACAGGATGAGATGAAAGTTGTTAATTCCTCCTCTTAAAAACGGGTCAAGTCAACTCTGTGATGTGTTGGTTTCTGCAGACATGAGCGATCCTGGTCCTGGAGGACCACAGCCCTGCATGTTTTACTTGTTTCTCTGCTCCAACACACCTGATATGAAGGAATAAATAATTACCAGGCTTCTGCTGTACGGAGGACCAAAACTGACATAATTAGAAATAAAAGCAGAACTATATGAACCACTAAATAAATACACTTAACATTGTGGACAACCCTGACCATCCTCTTCATCAGACTGTCATAGAAAGACAAAGTGTCTTCAGTCGGAGGCTTCTTCAACTTCGCTGTAATACAGACGCTACAGAAGATCTTTCCTGCCCACAGCCATCAGCATCTACAATAATTCTTTAGTTAAATGAGTTACAACAACACCTAATTTCCCTCTGGGATCAATAAAGTATTTTTGAATTTGAATTGAATTGAATTAAAATGCACCAATTAAATTAACATAACTATCTACTGTTTCATATTTTGACTTTCATATTTCTTTTTCCAGCTTAGTTCCAACAAATTAGTCTACATATTTGAACACATAATTTAAATATTACTGTTTTTTATATAAATTAATTGTTTTTCCTTGTACTTGTACATGCATTTGTATGTCTTAAATGTTTATACTTAATTATTTTTAGATTTTTTTTTTTTTTTACCAACAAGTCTTTATTTCTGTGTTGCAGGCTTGTGCTGCTTCAGTTTAGCTAA